AGGCATCACTGTCTGATGGCTTTCCCATTGAAACAGGGATGGATCTATCAGAGGGTGGTATTCCTCCTAACAGGCTTGATTTTAATGGTATTTTAAACCTCCTCTCTCAATTTGCCTATTGGATGCAAAGTGGTGGCGTGCCTACATGGAATAATACTTTAGATTATGTACCACCCGCGCGTGTGGCTGGAAGTGATGGTAAATTCTATAAATGTGTGGCCCAATCAGGCCCTACTATTGAGGACGTTGGCCCAAAAGATCCTACGGTTGAAGGGAATACTGACTATTGGATATTAGATGACCCTCAAGGGGGCTCTAATCCTGATGCCGGCGCTATTGTTGGTGAAATCAGATTTTTACCATTTAGAGCTAATGAAATCCCTCATGGATGGTATATAACTAATGGAACAAACTATTCTGTCAACTCACCTCAAGGGCAAGTCCTTAATGCATTCTCTGATGAATTTAAGTCTGATTGGGAGATGACACTTAAAGATGTTGATGGAGTAAGTAGTATTAATATTCCTAATTTATTTGCATCCGATAACACCGGAGCGATGTTAATCCCCACGAAAGGTATAGATTTAGCTGTTGGTGCTGTTCAAGAGGATATGGGAAGGAATGTAACAGGTCAATTTAACTTATATAATGGTATAGGTTTTTCTGGTTCAACGGCAGGCTCAATGTATTTTGCTGGGTCTGTCCCCTACTGTTTTAGTTATAATGCATCAGGTAATTTAGGTAATACTTTGCTTATAGATGCAAGCAGGGTATGGGGTGGTACTCATATTGGTTCAAGGTTCAAAGTCTATGGTCGTGGGTCTACACCTGTTATGTTTTTAGGAGTATAGAATGGCAAAAGACTATTATACAGTGTATGGATATGATGAGAGAAAATATTATACATATTCTACAAATATTTACGATAATGGTTTACCTCCTGATAATTCCACACGAACGCCTGTGCCTGTAGGTCCATGGAATGACCAATGGCCTAAATGGGTAGACCCTCAATGGGTTATGGAACAAGATTTCTATGGAGTTGAATATTGGCCAGCAGGTTCAACATGGGAAGATTATCCTCTAATCTGGGATAAACACGGGGCATTGCCTGATGGTGCTACTACAACACGTCCACCTGATCCTAATGGTCCTCGTAAGGATGCTATAAATCAACGCCTTTTCCAAATCCAAATGGAGATGAATGATTTGAAAAAAGATCGAGAAGACCTGTATGCCAAAGTCTTTTTGGATAAGGCCACAGCTGAAGATAAGGCTGAACTCCAATTGATTATAGATAAAGAAAATGCTCTTAATAAAGAAAGAGATGAATTGATCGAAGAATATAACTCACTCGTCTAAATTAACACGTTGGCACACTCATAGGGGGGAGGGGGAAGCTACATCCTCTTCCCCTTTTTCAACATAAGGATATCAAATGTCAGATCAAAAAGAATGCCAAGATTTAGTAACCGAAGAGGTCTTTTTAAAGAAACTTTTTGGCTTATACAAAAAGAATCAAGAGGTACTTTTAAGCCTTCAATATTTCTTCCTTTTATTTGAGAATAGTGAAAATGAAGACCTTTTGAGCTGTTCTTTAGAAAAAGCTCATGCCCTCATGACTAAAAATGTAGAAAGTATAACCAAAATCATCCAAAACCCTTTAGAAGATAAAGAATTACCAGTATGGCGTGAGTTATTATTTAATACTTTGGATGAAATGTTCACGTATTATCAAAATATTTTTGTGTATTTTGATAAGGCCTTAGAATTAAGTGTTAAGGATGAAATAGCAAAAAAAGCCCCTATAACGACATAGAGGCTTCAATAAAACTACTTTTTGTTTTGTACTTTTCGCATCAGTACCGAGGGTTTTAAATAAGAACGTTTTACCTTTTTGTCAAATATATGTTAAAATCCATCCCCGATGGCATCACATTTGATTCTAATCCACAAAAAGTTTTCTGATTCAAAATCAAGGCTCATTGAGAACACTTTTTTAAAGAGTGACTGATGCTTGTGCTCTTCAATTTTAGCATAGACCATACCTGCAAGCTCGATATTAGACTTATCTGTATCGCCATTGATACCAGTCATTTTAAGTAAATCTTTCCTTTTAGGAACAAAAAAAGCGATTGTAGGCCTACGATCAGGTGAGATTTGATCTAATTTATCTTGTTCTTGAAGGATATACTCTTTTAAGTAATCTAAAATATGATGATAGATAGTGTCAGAGCTTAAAGCCTTATCACCATCAATACCCTTAATAAATTGAGTACGTGTCATGGCTATTCCCCCCTTGTATATATCTTATCGGCCGTCTTACTTATAACTTTAGAGTATATGTTAAAATTTTTGTTGAATTTTTTCTTTTTAAAAGAGATAATGATTTCATCATGGTAGAAAAGACATTAACATATAAGCCTTTATACTAAATTATTACATTATAAATGAAAAAAGAGAGGGTCTTTCTAGATCCTCTCTTTTTTATCAACCTTATCTTATTAACCACACTACTTTTGTGAGGTCATTATATATAAATATCTTTTATTTGTATAGACTTAATGATAATGGTCGAGATAAATAGGTGTTTCATCATCATCTTTATTATCATCTTTTTGCCATTGTTGAACCTCTTTTGTAGGATGGTGGATAAACCAACACTGAATTGCATAAAAAATGACTTGGTAGAAATCTAAATTTTCTTGAATAGCTAGGATAAGTCCTTCTTTGAAATCATCCATCTCTGATTGAGTCATAAATTTTTTCATTAAACTACATAGATCTTCTAATCTTTCATTTTGATATATAATCCCTTCTTGTAAGATGTGAGTATCTGGTCCTTTCAATGAATCTAAAAAATCAATGAAGTTTTGACATTTTAATAGCTGCTTTGTGTTTTCCATTAAAAGCATTAGTATTTTTTTAAAGTATTTTTGCTCTTTTCTTATGGTTTTATCTGGTAAAGGTTTATTTTTGTACATGATAATTCCTGTATAATAGGGGGTTATTCTTTAGGTGTATGCATAAATGACTCATCTACGACATCTGAGGCACGTTTAAGAGCAGAATCATGAAGATGTGCATACCTTTGAGTCATTTTTATCTCTTTATGGGTCAAAAGCTTTTGAAGAGTATATAGATCGACTTTCCCAGTACTTGCCAATTTACTTGCAAAATTATGCCTTAATCCATGAAGTGGTCTAAAATCCTCAATCCCAGCCTTTTTATAGAGCTTTTTTACAAAATGATAGTTATAATTAGTCCTTTTCCCCCCATTTTGATCAGGAAATATGAATTCACTATCAGTTTTTTTAATATGTAAAAGTATTTCTTTTACTATATTGCTCATGGGTATGTACCCTACATGACCAGATTTAGAATATTCCCCTGATAAATGAATGATTTTATTGTTAAAGTCACAATCAGACCACTTAAGAGCTAATAGAGCATTTTTCCTAATACCTGTGTACATAGCAAGTTTTAAAAAATGTGACTCAAAAGTATCACCTAACTCATCTAAAACACTCAATAAACGTTTAGTCTCATCATCTGATAAAAATTCAGTCTTTTCATTGCACACTTTCAACATCTTAATATGCAAGTTTTCTGGGTACTTACACATACCCCTGTTAACACCAAAATTAATTAAACGTTTAATAAGAGCTAATACTTGATTAATAGTCCCAGGGGCTCTATTAATCCTTTTCTTTAAGATATCAATGTCATTAGTTGTCATTTCATAAAGAGGTTTATTGAGAAGGTTAGAGAAATGTTTAATCCTTCCTCTATCATCTTCTAATGATTTCCTTTTTGCATTTAAATCTGCATACTTGTCCCATAGATATTTTAGGGTAATTTCTTCCTTTTTAAGGATATTCTGTCTTTTATCCTTATTGGATGGTTCTTTCCCAGCTGCTTTTAATCCTTTGATAATGTTAGCTTGGGAAGCAGTCATTCCATGAGATTCTCGGCCAACCGGCTCTTCAATCAATTTCCCACTATTTGGATGCCTGTATAGGATATAGAATATTTTATCGATGAGTTTGCCAGTGCCTTTTTTAGAAATACGATAAGACACACCTGTAAATTTAGTTTTAAATCTTGCTGCCATATATAAAAACCTGCAATAAATTCACTTAGAATGTTAATAAAAAATCTATATAAATAAAGGGGATAGGTCTATTATGCAGGAATAAAACCTGCAACAAACCTGCAATCTATAGAGGGTCTAAAAAGAATAATAAGAAAGCGTGGCTAGAAGAGGATGCAATAGGCCACGCTGTTTCATTCCATACTCAAAAGAGTCAATTAGTCTGTTAAACAAAATATCAAGATATATTGATAGCGTCTATCAAAAAGTGATTGTTTTTGGCAATCAAATGGCAATCTAAACATACTATAACATATTGAATTATATTAACATTGTTTATAATGTTGGCAACCCCTTGCCAAAATAATGGTATCATTTTAGGATTCTTTCTAGAATAAGGTCTTAGAACTTGCTACTCATGTTTAAAAGGTCTTCAATTTTTGAGGACCTTTCTTTTTATTCAAAAAAGAAACATATGATGTGACCTTTTGAAAATAGGTGTCAAAACCTTGAATCGTCTTAGTATAGACGGTTGTTCTAAGAGCCCATATGGTCATAAATATATTGATATATCTAGATATTAGATCTAATTATGCAAGGATTGATCCAAAATAGCCATATCTATGGCCATCTAAAATAGTATTTTTATAAAAACTCAGAGTGATTCTGTATAAATGTTTTACACTTCTCATGGGTGTCTGGAAGAGATCTAAAAAAGAATTCAAGCTCTAAAATTTTTTGACCAATGATGTGTATCTCAGAAAGAGAAGATGGTAGACGTAGGAGCATTAACTTTTGAGAAATTTTAATCTGATGCAATAGATTATTTTCTTTATCCAAGACAACTCCCCTTTCCTATAGAGGTATTCGATGATGATTTTATCGATTTCTTTATCCGGATAAAATATCAAAACGGTACTTCGCTTGCGTCAAATTTAGGGTTATAAGCATCTTCAAGGGCTTTATCTACTGCCGCCTCAAGGGATGTCGTATACCGATAGTCATTTCGTTTCTCTTTATCTTTATCTAAGAACAAAATGCGTTTAATAATTATTTGTGTTGACTGAAACGTTTCCCCTGTATCTTTCGTCCATTTTGTAGTCCTCAATGACCCTTCAACTAAGACTAACTTACCAGTTGTGATATAATCACTACATATTGTTGCTGTTTTCTTATATGCAGAGCACTTATGCCATTCCGTAACAGATTCTTTTTCACCTTCCCTGTTAATGTAACTTGTTGTAGTTGCTACTTTAAAATTACATACAGGGTCACCAGATGCTGTATATTTTAATTCTGGAGCATTCCCCACATACCCCACAATTGTAACATGATTTAGCATAGTTACTCACTTAATTCTTTTTTAAGAATGGATATCATATCCCTCTTCCGCTGTATAGAGTCCATCGGCAAGTGTTGGTACATATGAATTTACGAACCATGCAAGTGCACGGTGTTGGAGCATCAAGGCGGGGATAGACTTCCATAAACTCCTATCTTTATCTAACCACCCTGCGTCTTTAGCCATTTGGAGTGTTATGGTAGGACCTACGACTTCCTCATTTCTCTTAGAGTCAGTAGCTTTAACGTAACAGCCATAACTTAAAGCACTATTTATACTAGCAGCCCCTTTAAATGTTTCCTCATTTATGTAAACAATCTTAATATTTTTGTATTTTTTAGACCTATAGAGGAGTTCGGTGACCAATCTAGCCCCAGGGAAGAGATTTCCTTTGATAAATTTGATTGAATTGAAGACAAAAAGTGGGTCTAATTCCTTTTTATAGGCAAAGAGGAGTACTATATAGCAATTTGCTCTATTTTTTTTACATTCATCGGGTACAACGGTCGTTTTTGACCATATTTCTGCCTCTTTCCATACAAAATTCTGAAATTCTTTCTTTCTTTGAAGCTGTACTATAAAATCATCATTGAAAGTAATAGTACTTGCTAGATTTACATCAAACGGGGGGATATCAATTCCCTCTTTAGATTTAAGGACTATCTCTGCATTCACTGGTTTTAATTGAGAGTCTTCCTTAATTTCATCAATAGTCACTTCCATCAGATTCTCCATTTGCATTTATGAAAGATAGGGCAAAATTTCTTTAAACATAGCATACTACGAGGATTCCCATGAAATAACCCTTGGTTAATATAATGAGCTGCATAGTGTAAAAGGCCCTTTTCACCATGTTCTCCAAGGACAAGCTCTTTTGCACCATGGATATACCCTATCCCAGCTCTTTGAGCATCAGATGTTTTAGCTGCATTAAGGCCAGCAATAACAGCTGGAACATCAATCTTAATCTTAAAAGATAACTCTACAGCAAGCTCATAGACACCAATTTGGGGTGAGAATTTAGACGTGTATATGTGACCATTTTTATTAACGATATTCTTACCCGTTTTAATGTCTAAAATCCCATACCCCTCATCAGTTTTAAATACTCTATCCGGTGTCCCAGTAAATCCTATATTAAGATCGGTAAAATGTATTGGTTCACATGTCTTTTCAACAAAAACATATGTATATAAAGGCTGGATTTCATTTACATAAAGCTCATAAAGCTTGATACTACGTTTCTCAATATCTTTAGCAGTAGACTTTTCCCATGCGATTTCTTCATCAGGCATGTAAACTGTTGTTAAAATTGCCTCTTTCCCTTCATCTGGATCTATTTGAACACCCTTCAAAATAGCAGAATCATAAAGGTTAGCAGCTGCATGGACTGCTTTCCCTAATAGTGCTTCCTCACTCATAGGCAATGTAAGTCCTTCAATATACTTAGCTTCCCACCTAGCCGGGCAATCAAACAGTTCTCCAAGAGAAGATGCACGTATTTTAATCATTATTCAGACTCGATGTTGTATCAAGATTCATAAAATACGAGCAGATACATCCTTCTCCTACTTTAATATTAGCAAAAAGAAGAGCTTTTTCTCTAAGAGAAAATTCATAGTACTTTTTTTCTTCAGTTTGGGGATTTAATACAGATACTAGGTACATCTTAATACTCGTTTTCATACCTAAAGTGTTTAGATCTATAACCATTTTCAATCCATTCTGGTTCAATCTCGATACAATTTACTTCATCTAAATCATTAATGATGAAAAAGTCGTCTATTAAAGTAGTTTTATTATTTTGCATTTAAGCTTACTCCAAATTTTGAGATATTAACGTCTCGTTATTATTGAAGGTATAATCTTCAAGTTCAGCCTCTGAAATGATTGTACTAACTATACTAAAAAACAGCACAAAAAGTATAACATACAGCCACCTTTGAGCTAATGATAATTCGTTGATATCACTAGACATTCAATCACTCCTTTATTTCTTTTAATATAATCTTTTATCATAAAAATTCAACCCTTTTAGACATTAAAATTTTATGTCATATTCATAAATTACTATAATTATATTATATAATTTATAAAATATTTTAGATGTAGATATTATATTAAAAATTGATTCAATATATTGACATTTTAAAAAGGATACTAATAAAATATTTAGAGATAGATATGGAGGGATATACTGTGAATATAGCAAATGATATACGGACTTTTTTAGATATAACAGGTTGGAGTGTACAAGATCTTGCTGATGCTGTAGGTGTCACATCTCAAACTCTTTTTAAGTACTTACAACGAAAAGAATCACCTTCGTGTGCTGATAAGTTGATTCCTATCCTCTATGGTCCTAAAAGGTTAGATACTGATAGACTTAAGTCTATAAATAAGACTGTTTTAAAACAAAAACGTGTTGAGTTATTACAACAATTGGTAGCTGTTAATTAAGTAATTTCTTATATTTATATACTATCCTTTCAGAAAGGTTTAATGCTTCCGCTATTTCATTGACTGTAAACCCTGATTCTGACAGGCAGAGTGTGACATATTGACGTACCTTTGATAGTGTATGCTTTTTAAATTTTAAAAAGGATGGCCCCTGGAATAACATTATAAGTTTATCTAGGGCTTCTCTTTTTTTGACCTGTCTATTGTCTATTAGATGTAAGATGTCATACATCTCATCGATGAAATGTTCTTTCATAGCATTAACTCAAAGTGAGGGCCATCATAAAAGGTTTCATCATCAGACCTACCATTTTGATTCCAGTCTCCGCCCCATCGTATTTTAATACCTAAATCCTTTGAAGACTTAAACATAGCATCGCTTACAGCTTTAAATGCATCCTTTTTATTCCATATATCAGTTGATGATACACCTCTTATATATGGTAATAGGTCAACAGCATAACAATACCCTATATCTTGCATACAGTGTTTAGAGTTTAATGTTTTAGTAGTACCCTTTTTAAATAGCTCTTGCTGGCGTTCTCTAGTTCTCATACCCTCTATAACAGTAAAATCGACTGTTGTATTACATTTTAATGCATGTACTACAATAGATACTAGATATGGGTGAACACCTTTTAAGTTTTCAATAGATTTTTTAGAGAATCTAAAGTTTGTCATGGATGCATGACTCCTCGATGGTATAGTGTTGATAGATTACCATAATTATTGAGTTCTATCAAAAATGCTATATTACAAGCTGCGTGTGATATATGCATAAGTTGACTTTCAGGGTCATAAGAATAAATACCACAGTCTTTCATAGCGTGTATGTGACGCAATAGTGCTCCAAAATATTGATTAATAGGGACATTGACCCATGAACTCTTATTTTTGTATTTTTTAACACCATATTCTCTGACTTTCGCTATTTCTACCTCAATAGATGGCGGGACTAATGTTAGGTCAATCTTATTAAAGGTATCTTTATCCATTATTGCTTTCCTTTTTCTTATATCCTAAGGCTTTAAATAGTATTTCTACATCTTTTTTCCTAAAAAATGCGTCTGTTTAAATGTATAAGATCTTATATTCCATAAATAATCTAATATATCTGTTTGTTTAAACTTTCTAATAAGAAAATATAAGTAGTATATATGCCAACGACATCACCTCAAAGGTAAACAATATACCATTTAATCAAACATAATATACCCTATAATCAAAATATATACAAAAGATATATATTCCATCATGCCATGTAAAAACAGAGCCTTAAAATTAAAATATGAGTGATTTAATGTTAATTGCATATATTTACTTACTATTTATCGATTAAATCTCTTTTTGTGCATTAAATATGCGCGTTTAATGGGGTCATTATCATCTTTTGACATCATAAGTTTATCAAAATCTTGTGATGATTGTGGAAGATCACGTTTTACAGCACTTTTAGCTATCTCTTCTAAGTCTATATTCTCATATCTTTCTATTTCTATTGACATTTTAGTATCCTTTTGAATCATTGAATTTAAATAATTTTTAAAATTAGGGGTAGTTGGAGTACTTTGTTGTCTTTGAGGAGTAACATGAGGAGTCTTTTCTTTCTTAATACTCTCAGCAGCCGATTTTAAAGTTTTTAAGAATGACTGTAAGGATGGATCATATGATGGATGGTATGGTCTTACTAAAAACTTATCATTTTCAATGAAATTATAGAATTGAGGCATGTATCTACCACCCTCATTTTCATTGCTCCAATCTTGAGAATTAAGCCATATATCTAAAATTTTGACCCATTGCTCATGAGTAGGAAATGTATCTTGATGACGTTTTTTAGCAGAGTTCCAGGCTGTAAATGCTTTATCTAAGCCGCTGTATAAAGACATATGCTGATGATGGCTAAGTGTCTGTCTATGTTCTTGAAAACGCTTATAGACATAGGTGAAGACATCATCTTTGATTGATTGATGATTTTCTAGAAAATTTTCTTTAAACCCTCTTAGTAAATCTTTAAGAGAAGAGAATCCCCTCCCCCTAGGGGGGATCAAGGGGGGTATTTTAACTCTTTCTACTTCCTTATTTACTCTTTTCTTATCCCTTATATTTATATAAGGGTATTTTATGGGCTCGTTTTGTCCTAGAGAGAGTAGTGGATACGTTACTAGGACCCGACCTGTTTTTTGAGAAACAGGTTTTGGATCAGAAAGTGGATAATACCGTTTTGGGCGCTCAAAAGATTTAATGTATTTCTCATAAGACGCGCCACTATAATGCCCACCCGCGGCACATCTACGACGCCATTGGTTAATGAAAGCTTTGTTTTCTAATAGTCTGTGATATATTGGAGCAAAATCAGGATTTCTACTAACTTCATTCCACAACCTTTGGCGAGCTTTTAAGCTGTCTTGAACAAGGTCAGCATGTAACCATTTTTTAATGTTAATTAATTTGGCGGGAGAAAAAATAGTAGATAAAATTTTATCTTCATCAGCCGTTAAGACCACCTTTTTATAATAATTTTTAGTATTATTATGTAG